TGAGAAATAATTTAGTGTTGATACTGGTTCGATTATTCTTTTCTGAACCCCATATATTTTGTTGATATTACCTATAGGTCAAATTCATTAGCGTTGAATCAACAGACTTCTACTATCTACTACTGTGACTGAAAGTATAATCTGATTACCACGTTCCACCGGTTCACCAGATCTAGAGTCCGCAATGTGTCACCTTTCTAATCTTTGGTAGCACTCTTTTGACCCACCGTCCATCTTCCAGTTTGGCTCAAGGTCCTCGGATAGAGCTTTAGTTAATCGATAGAACGCCTCGAACCCAAATACGTAGCGATTTCGAGGACAGAGATAAGCAGCTAAGTTATCTTAACTAGACTGCATATTGGACGTTCCTCCCTTACGAACGAATACCTCTTGCAGGGAGAACGGAAACCATTTTGTATCTGGTGCGACACCGATTTTACTATCAGGCACATATGTACTGACCGAATGTCCGGACTTTGGAGAGACCCGAAGAAAGTATTTTAAATGTACAAATTTAAAGAATTTGTTCTCGGTCGTTGATCCCAGCAGAATTCTGGGTTTCACAAAAGCCATTAGCTTTTACTCAAAGATGTGAATAGTTGTTATTTTTAAAAATGTAAATTGCTGTTTTATTTTAAAGTAAGTTTTTACTCTTTATGTTAGATATTTCAACGATTTTGATTGGTAAAGAAAATCCAAACCGTGCTATGAACTTACGCGAAAATAACCAAATAGAGTCCTGCGCGCTCACATTAAGACCGTATGCAGTTAAAGTTGCGAGCGTTGTAAAACTGTTACCAAACTAATCGAAACTAGAGAGATAAGCAGTCTAACCCCCGTGCTTTGATATGTTATCACCAGAAGCCAAAAGTATACGTCAGCTTTGCCAGTTGTGGTGAAGGTGTAATGTCACATCGGAACGTCAACTACTAGGGTCATTTACTCTATCTGCACGAACGCGGAGTATTGCTCGATTACTTTGCCACTAGCCATTAATTAGACGTCATGTGTGAAAGCGTGCGTGCGTGCGCGCCCACTTGCGGCGTGTTTGTTCATGTGTATCTATGTTTGTGTGTGCGTGTTTGTGTGTGTGTGTGTTTGTGTATGTAAGCGTGCGTGCATGCGTGCGTGCGTGCCCAAATGCGACCGTGTTTGTTCATGTTTGTGTGTGTGTGTGTT